CCTGGTAGTCACAGTGGGACTATTTACACCATGGAGATGGGAAAATGCTATAAATCAGGGCTGTTTTGTTTTTTCTCAGAGAGCAGCACTGGTCTCACTGCATCTGGGACCTAGAGGGCCTCCCCCTGCACAGTATGGAGACCTGCCTCTAGCTGAGAGGAAAAGGAGTCTGGGAAAGCTTTGGGTGTGTTCATAGGGGTTGGAAATGCTTCTGGAAGGTTTCATAGAAGTAGAGAGGATTCTGGGGAAGTTCTAGGGAGGAGTCACATGTTGGAGTCTTGGGGCTCATCCTACCTCGGTCCTGGGCCCCCAGCAACCCGATCTCAGTGATCTCTCGACACCAGGCCTGCAGCTCAATGTCGTCTCTCACAGACTCGTCCATCTTATAGTGGAGATTCACAATCCCCTCCACATAGCTGCCAGCAGAGGGGTCAGGGTGGGAGAGTGGAGGCTGATAGCACAGAGCTCCCAGGCCCTCTACTCCTTACCCACGTGGCCAGGCCAGGGCCTGCAGCCCCCTGGCTGGGGCACAGACCTCCTCTTCTCCCAGCCTCCCCCCACCGCCACCCCTGCCTTCCTCCCACCTCACCGAGAGAGAATTTCCCAGAGCCTCAGGGCATCTTGAGCATAGAAAGAAGACTTGACTCCCAGGAGCCCCCGGTCAGCCAGGTCATCAGGGGGACAGAAGGAGCTATAGGTTAGAAAGGCTCCTGCTCGCTGGAGCACCTCCACATGGCCGCCCCCACCTGTGCTCACCACCTGAGAAGCAAAGACAGTGTGGTCAGGCAAATCCACCTGCCCTCAGGCCAGAGGGAGCGTGAATCCCACTTCCTCTCCTCTTACCTGGTCGAAGACTCCGGAGTCAGCGACCAGCCCAGTCCTGGCCCGGATGTTAATTTCCATGGTGTATCGCAGGTGTGGAATGAGAAGCTGGAGGGAGAGGAACAGGAAAGGACAGGGTCAGAAGACAGCTGTGGCTGGTCCCTGAGGGAAATACGGGCTAAAAAGCAGGAAAGTCTTCAGGAAAAGCAGACTGAAGTCCAGTGGCCTCTTGACAATAATGTTCTTTGATAATTGAAGGAAGCCATTCTTCTTTTCTCTTCGTGTAAGACCGATCAAGGTCTAGCTCAATGTTTCTCCACCTTTTTTTCATTATCACTTCTCTAAGGAGGCTTCTTAGATTTTTTTTTTGTACCCTTACCTGCCCCATGACATTGTGCTACAGACATGCCATCTGTAATGTACTCTATATACATATATCCTTTATACAAAAAAATAAGATTTTTTGCTTCCCCCAGAACATGATCTGATTCACTACCTCCAGAACTTCACCCAGTTCCCTCCCCTTTGTCCATTACACTCATTTTCTTTCTGACCTTCAAACACACCAAGCTTGTTCCTGCCTCAAGACCTTGGCACTGTTTGTTCCCTCTGCCTAGAGCAATATACCCCTTCCTCATCGTATGACTGGCTCCCTGTAGTTTCTTTTTATTATTTATTTACTTTTGGCTGCACTAGGTCTTCCTGGCTGCACTTGGGCTTTCACTAGTTGAGGCAAGGGGGAGCTCCTCTCTTTTGGGGAGCAGGGACTTCTCATTGTGATGGCTTCTTTTGTTGTGGGGCCTGGGCTCTGGGCATGTGGTCTCAGTAGTTGTGGCCCACCAGCTTACTCCTCAGAATCTTCCTGAACAAGAATTGAACCTATGTCCCCTGCACTGGCAGAGGGACTCTTAATCACTGGACCATCAGGGAAGTCCATCCATATAATTTCATTCTCTCTTCCACCTCCTTAAAGAGCATTTCCCAACCACCCAGTCTAAACTCACTATCACATCACTCTGCTCTGATTCTCTGCAGTGCACTCATCACAGCTGATCTATTACAATACTGTCTGTTAGCCCTTAATGGAAATGACAACCCCCAAAGACTAGGACCTTGCCTGTCTGGCTTAGCACTGGCATCTAGCATGGCTTTTTATTGCCACGCAGAGGCTCTCAAGAAAACTTAATGGATGAACACCCTATTCTAATTGTAATAAGCCACGCTGCTCTTGTTGACCTGAGCCGCTGTAACTGGCCTCTGTGTTACTGCTATTTGAGAACCCTTCAAAACTGACTGGAAAAGTCTTCTATATTATTTGCACAGTCCCCTCTTGTTGGAGGGAATCCTCAGTCATTGTGTATTCTGTTTATATACTCTACATGTAACTGTGCTTTATACATAAAAAGTGTAAGATTTCTCATTTCCCACCCCTCATCCTCCCACCACTCCCCACCCCATCAGGGAGTCACTTTTATCTCTTCAGCAAGTGATAAGCCACGCTCTCACATCTTGTTCACTTGTCTTTTATTGGTTTTCTCCCCAAACACTGAGGTTCCACAGAGAAGGTGCCTCCAGAGATGGAACCTCACTGTGGGGTAGAGAGTCTGGGGGCGGGGGGAGGCAGTTTAAAGCGTTACCTTGTACATAGGATGTATAGACGGAAGGCACCTCCTGGTGGCCACAGCGATGACCTCAGCCATCAAGTGTCCCCTCAGGAGATGAGAGTGCAGCTCGTGAAGCTGGAAGTCAGAGCTCCGGACCCAGCACTTGGCCAGGAGCCAGGTCATCGGGGGATCCGTGGGCAGGAAAAGCGGTGGGGGTGGGGACCCCTTGTGTGGCAGTTGGAGCTGGAGCGGGGACAAGAGTGGGGGGAAGGGAGGGCTGAGGGCCAGTGCACAGCAGACTCCCGCGCCCCTTGCATGTTTAAGCGCTTCCCTCTCCCTCCAAAGTCACTTAGCGTTCTCTGTCTGACCGCTGCCACTCCCCTACTGCCTGGGTCCTCTCACCTGGATGACCATGGGTAAGAGTTTCCCATCGGGCTGCAGTTTCAGCATAACCAGAGGGGCAGCCACGTACTGCTGGGTACACAGGATGACGTTGGCCTTGATTCCATCCAGCAAGGAGAAGTCAGCTTCAAATAGTGTGCCTTGCTGGATGGGGGCAGAGGGAAAGGGCTACATCAACATAAGGCATCTCTTCCTGCCCTGATTCCCCAAAGGATGAAAGAACTAACTTGGTTCTGGGTTTAATACCAGGTAATTTAATACTGGGTAATGGTTCCTGTATTTACGGCTTCATATAATTCTTAGCTGCACTTGAATTAGCCCCAGGTTTATGAAAGAGGAAACTGATGATCAGAGAGGATAGATATGTTGCCTGAAGTCACACAGCTTATAAAACAGCAGAGCCAAGATTCAAGCTCAAGTCTGTCTCACCCTAAATCTCATGAGTTTTCTCTTTTTTTCAAATGTACTGTTATCTTGGGGGAGCTGTGCTGGGTAACACTAAGGCTCTTAACACTCATTAACACTAAGGCTCTTCTTGCAGCACCCAGGCTTTCTCTAGTTGCGGCGTGCGGGCTTAGTTGCATCACAGCAAGCGGTTTCTTAGTTCCCTGACCAAGGTTTGAACACATGTCCCGTGCATTGGAAGGAGGGTTCTTTACCACTGGACCACTAGTAAAATCGCCTGAGTTTTCTCTCTGAATTGTTCCGTGCTGATCCCATCAAAAACCCCAGCCCTGATCCTGATTCTCTTACTGCACACTCTCCCTAAATCCCCAGTTATAGCTCTTCATTTTGACTCTGTCACCCATCACATTCTCTCCCTCCACAGCATGCTATTCTCATTAGGAGAGGAGAGCCATGGAAGGTCACCCCAGGATCAGTCAAGATTTCTACTGTGGAATTCCGTCTTGCCATCTGGCAGCAGGCTGGGTCCACAGTGGACCCTGCAGCAGCACAAACGCTGACCCCACCCCCATCCCTCTGTGCGGTCTCCTGAGGGCTCTTACTACTCACCTGGAGCTCCTTCTCCAGCTCGGCCTGCAGCTCCCACATCCCTGGAGGAAACTCCAGGCGGGCAGGAAGGTAAACGGAGCGTCTCAGCAACATGGGGTTGGTGCCATTGAGAAACTGGTACCCAAATAAGGCATCCTCCTTCCAGGAGTCCCGCACCCGCTCTGGGGATGGCATTTTGGAGCTTGCTGTGGGATCTGAGTCCTGGTCCTTCCAACCCCCACCAAACCATCCCCACTTGACCCCAGCCTTCCAGGCCTCTGGTCTCACACCCCTAGTTCCCTAGAATGGGTAGGATCTGGGAGTAAGAGTCTTGGGATAAATACTGGGGTAGGGGTACTAACCAGCCAGCTTGCTCTGCCCACACCAGAAAATCCTGTTGAAGTCATCCAGACTTTTCCAGCAAGTCAGAATATTTAAAGCGTCTTTGATGGCTAGGTCTGCCAGCCTTTGAGGAAGGATGGGTGAAGAGTTTGTTATTCTCAGAATCAAACTTTACAACCCCATGCATCCCTATTGGGCTGGTCCAGCCCTATGAAGTCCATAAGCCTGGACTGACCACTGGACCAGGAAACATCCCTGTCACCCGGCCTTACCCCTTGGTCAGCGAGGCCTCAAAGTCAATTCTTTTGTCCTCTAGAAATCTCTCATCTACAGGAAGGTCGTTTATTGTGGCCCCAGCTATATTCAGAATTAACCCCGCCTTCCAGTTACTCCACCTGCAGTGGAAAAGAAACCAGGCATTGGTACTGGGGAAGGGTCAGCAGCTCCCCGTGGGGTCAGGAGGCAGGGGTGGGGCTGACCGGTACAGCTTCCTTCTCTCTGCCAGCTCCTCCTCCCTGTGTTTCTTGAACAGACCTTGAGGGTCATCGACCACCGTGCGACCTGAAAGTGGGGAGAAGGGCAGGGGCTATGAGGCTCCTCCTGAGAGCCTCTCCCCTGTCCCTGTCAGGGGGCCCTCTGCCCACCCTTGTGGCTGGCCCCCGGCCCTTCAGCATCTCTGCGGTCTCCCAGCTCCCACTGCCCTGTGCCAGCTGCTGCATCCCGCTTCTTCTGTGACCCCAAAGGCCACGCTCCCTTCTCCCCTCCCCCTTAACTTCTCTCCATCCCCGGGGGTCTTACACTCCCAAGCCCGCCCCCACCCCGCCCCCCGCTGCCCACCGGTGCCCTCGGGCAGGCTCAGGACGCCGTCGCCCTCCACCCAGCGATAGCACGGGAACCTGAACTCGTTCCCACTGGCCCCGGGGCCCTGCACGGAGATCCAGTTGCAGAACCACGCGTCATCCGAGAGGAAGTGCCATTTGCGCAATTTCACAAACAGCAGCCGCCCCAGGTCCTCGGACACGTCCACCTGGAATTCCACCTCCTGCCGGCGACAAAAGAGGATCAGCAAGTGGGGCTCTCTGGAAGGGATCGTCGGATGAGCCCTGGACGCCCTTCCCTCTGGGCCTCTGGCAAAGGGGCGCAAAAGGAGCCAGAGAGGAAGCGGACGCACACCAAGCAGTTGGCTCCACGACCCCATTCTCGGTCATAGAATTCCTCAGCCCCGGGTGAGGTGGGGGACAGAAGATGGAGAGGGGCATGACTCCCCGAAGTCACTGACTGTGTGGAGCACTGGGCTGCGCCCTGGGCGAGCTGACTGGTGACCAGACAGTTATCGCGTCCCCCTACCCTGTCACCAGGGCCGTGGGCGCAGCACGCAGCTCTGGAGCACAGACTCCATAGACGTGGCGCAGGGCCTTAGTTGCTCGGAGGTGTGTGGGATCTTCCCGGACCAAGGATGGAGGCTGAGTCTCCTGCATTGGCAGCTGGATTCTTTACCACCGGGCCACCAGGGAAGCCCTGGGGGGATGTTTTAAGGGTGGGAATGTATTGGGAAGAAATCGCTGACTGCAGAAGGGCTTGGAAGGGCAGAGGCTGGAGCAATGAGGCGGGCGAAGAGGAAGAAGGTGATGTAGTAGGTTCGAGGGGCCATTGGTGGTCAGAGTGGGATGGACATCAGGGCACGGATGCGAGAAATATCTAAGAGATGAACTGGACTAGGCTGGATTTTTGGTTAGACGCAGGCGAAAAGAGGCGGAGGCGCGAGTGCACCTGGGAGAAAAGAGGACTGGTTCGGGAGGTGGGGAAAGGGGAGGACCTCACGTGAGCACGGTTCTCTGAAGCATCCGTGGGATAAACGTCGGGTCTGGGGGTCTTGGGGAGAGCCGGATGGGAGATGGGAATCTGGGGATCGGCAGAGGCAAAAAGTAACAGGAGCCAGGAACGAATACCAGGTAGATGTGATGGGAGAGAGGGTGGGTCGGGAAATCAGAATGCTCGCACCAGTCGGATTCTTTCCTCCTCCCCCTCTTCCCGGGTCCCCATTCCCGCTCCATCCCGGAGATAAAGCCTACAAGGTCGGATCTAGCAACCTTACAGAAAATCTGAAATAGCAGCTTCTAAGAAGAGGAAACAGGAGACGGATGTCCGCTCCAAGGACCCCGGAGTTTTCCGAAAAGACAGAGTTCTGAGGAACCAAGGGACTGTCCCAATTCCAAGCAGGCAAGACGGCAGGAACATACTGAGCGCTTGCTGTGTGCCGCGTCCAGCCCTAAAACGATTTACTTAGCGGCCTCCGAGGGCTCTCCGGGCGGGGGTCGTGCGCCAGAAGCCGCCCGGGAAAGCGGGAGGCCATCTGGGGCGCGTCTCCTCTCGGGGACTCTCGGGCCTGGGGGCCAGGGGCGCAGCGCACCCCGCCCGGCTCCGACCAGCTCACCTTGCCCCTCGCCGGCCGCAGGCGCCACCCGAGCGCCGCCTCCCCTTGCTCGCCGACCAGCCACAGGTGCACCTGGTTATTGGAGCCCGCGCAGCACGAGGACCCGGTGGACACGCGGACGCGGTAGAGACCCATCTTGCCCAAAGACGTTTCGCCCCTATTGAGGGGGAAGAAGAGAGGACGCCAAATAACCGGGCGCGAGACCCCGCCCCTCCAAAGCCTTGCAAAGTTCAGGGTGTGGGTGGCAGATCTCCAACCAACCGCGTCTGGCCATGCTCTGGGCCCCCCAGCTCCGCTCCTCCCAGAGCTAAGCCCTGATCGCGAGAAGGCGGGGCCCTGGCGGGGGTAGTGTAGGGCGAGCAAACCAGTATCTTGGTGGGAGGAAGATGGTAGGCGCAAGCAGATGAGGATTTGGGCAGAAAACATGCAGGAAGAAGGAATCGACGTATGGCCCAGCAGACAGATGGCGGGTGTGGCTGGAAGCCCTCTCCATCTAAACACACACACACACACACACACAAACTCACGCACGCACATGCGTGCCTCCCAAGTTGGCTCACCTCTGCTAGGGGTCATGCTTAAGGTTGCCAGGGGAGATGCAAAGAGCAAGGAGATGTGGTCACCACAGCATTTGTGTGACAGGTAGTCCCAGGAAAAGAATAAGAACTGTCCCAAGAACAGAGAAGACAGAGCAGCCCATCTGGCTGCCCAGGGTAACCAGGTAGAAAGGAGGTCCAACCCGTTAACCAACACTGGCGCTCACACTCTGTGACCAAGGAGAAAAGAGGGTCCTGAGATGCTGAGTTAGCCACATTCCCTAAAGAGAAGCAAGCACAGTCCTCTCCCAGAAGATGAACGCACTAGACAGCCCTCTTAACCATAACAAGATATTAGTAATGCACACATAAGTCAATTTATCATAATGACAAAATAAGGAGTTCCAGAACTCTGGCCAAGTGAAACTAAAGGAATCCATCATTCTTTAATATCCGCAAATCAATCAATGTAATACACCACATTAACAAATTGAAAGATAAAAACCATATGATTATCTCAATAGACGCAGAAAAAGCCTTTGACAAAATTCAACATCCATTTATGATTAAAACTCTCCAGAAAGCAGGAATAGAAGGAACATACCTCAACATAATAAAAGCTATATATGACAAACCCACAGCAAGCATCACCCTCAATGGTGAAAAATTGAAAGCATTTCCCCTGAAATCAGGAGCAAGACAAGGGTGCCCACTCTCACCACTACTATTCAACATAGTTTTGGAAGTGTTGGCCACAGCAATCAGGGCAGAAAAAGAAGTAAAAGGAATCCAGATAGGAAAAGAAGAAGTGAAACTCTCTCTGTTTGCAGATGACATGATCCTCTACATAGAAAACCCTAAAGACTCTACCAGAGAATTACTAGAGCTAATCAACGAATACAGTAAAGTTGCAGGATATAAAATTAACACAGAGAAATCTCTTGCATTCCTATACACTAACAATGAGAAAACAGAAAGAGAAATTAAGGAAACAATACCATTCACCATTGCAACAAAAAGAATAAAATACTTAGGAATATATCTACCTAAAGAAACAAAAGACCTATACATAGAAAACTATAAAACACTGATGAAAGAAATCAAAGAGGACACAAACAGATGGAGAAATATACCGTGTTCATGGATTGGAAGAATCAATATTGTCAAAATGGCTATACTACCCAAAGCAATCTATAGATTCAATGCAATCCCTATCAAACTACCAACGGTATTTTTCACAGAACTAGAACAAATAATTTCACAATTTGTATGGAAATACAAAAAACCTCGAATAGCCAAAGTAATCCTGAGAAAGAAGAATGGAACTGGAGGAATCAATCTGCCTGACTTCAGACTATACTACAAAGCCACAGTCATCAAGACAGTATGGTACTGGCACAAAGACAGAAATATAGATCAATGGAACAGAATAGAAAGCCCAGAGATAAATCCACGAACCTATGGTCACCTTATCTTCGATAAAGGAGGCAAGGATATACAATGGAAAACAGACAACCTCTTTAACAAGTGGTGCTGGGAAAACTGGTCAACCACCTGTAAAAGAATGAAACTAGAACACTTTCTAACACCATACACAAAAATAAACTCAAAATGGATTAAAGATCTAAATGTAAGACCAGAAACTATGAAACTCCTAGAGGAGAACATAGGCAAAACACTCTCCGACATAAATCACAGCAGGATCCTCTATGACCCACATCCCAGAATTTTAGAAACAAAAGCAAAAATAAACAAATGGGACCTAATGAAACTTAAAAGCTTTTGCGCAACAAAGGAAACTATAAGCAAGGTGAAAAGACAGCCCTCGGATTGGGAGAAAATAATAGCAAACGAAGCAACAGACAAAGGATTAATCTCAAAAATATACAAGCAACTCCTCCAGCTCAACTCCAGAAAAATAAATGACCCAATCAAAAAATGGGCCAAAGAACTAAACAGACATTTCTCCAAGGAAGACATACAGATGGCTAACAAACACATGAAAAGATGCTCAACATCACTCATTATCAGAGAAATGCAAATCAAAACCACAATGAGGTACCATTATACGCCAGTCAGGATGGCTGCTATCCAAAAGTCTACAAGCAATAAATGCTGGAGAGGGTGTGGAGAAAAGGGAACCCTCTTACACTGTTGGTGGGAATGCAAATTAGTACAGCCACTATGGAAAACAGTGTGGAGATTTCTTAAAAAGCTGGAAATAGAACTGCCATATGACCCAGCAATCCCACTTCTGGGCATACACACCAAGGAAACCAGATCTGAAAGAGACACGTGCACCCCAATGTTCATCGCAGCACTGTTTATAATAGCCAGGACATGGAAGCAACCTAGATGCCCATCAGCAGATGAATGGATAAGGAAGCTGTGGTACATATACACCATGGAATATTACTCAGCCATTAAAAAGAATTCATTTGAATCAGTTCTAATGAGATGGATGAAACTGGAGCCCATTATACAGAGTGAAGTAAGCCAGAAAGATAAAGACCATTACAGTATACTAACACATATATATGGAATTTAAAAAGATGGTAATGATAACCCTATATGCAAAACAGAAAAAGAGACCCAGATGTATAGAACAGACTTGTGGACTCTGGGAGAAGGCGAGGGTGGGATGTTTCAAGAGAACAGCATCAAAACATGTATATTATCTAGGGTGAAACAGATCACCAGCCCAGGTTGGGTGCATGAGACAAGTGCTCGGGCCTGGTGCACTGGGAAGACCCAGAGGGATCGGGTGGAGAGGGAGGTGGGAGGGGGGACCGGGACGGGGAATACATGTAAATCCATGGCTAATTCATTTCAATGTATGACAAGAACCACTGCAATGATGTAAAGTAATTAGCCTCCAACTAATAAAAATAAATGAAAAATAAAATAAAATAAATGAAGGAATCCATCATTTCAGAGGAGAAAGAGAGATTGCAGAAATTAACTTATGTAGAAAATGAAATTTTGAAGTAACAGGAGAAGTTTTACTGGAGCAAAGATAGCTCCTTGGGAGAAACAAGCTTTGGAGGCCCAAGCATGAATCAGTCTGCTGAGAAGCCTGAGATTCTGTAGCCTCAGTGCATTTGAGGATCTGAGACAATATTCTTTGGAGGGAATGAGGTTATCTGGCAAGATTTTGGTAACACCAAGAAAATATCTGAAGTATTTTAACAACCTTAAGAAAGTATCTTATTCCTAGAAAAAAACAAGAACAAAGAGAACCAACGAAGTAATTAAATCCATGATATTGGTGTTTAAAAATAGATATAACGACAGTCCAGGAAAAGGCAATGGCACCCCACTCCAGTACTCTTGCCTGGAAAATCCCATGGATGGAGGAGCCTGGTAGGCTGCAGTTCATAGGGTCGCTAAGGGTCGGACATGACTGAGTGACTTCACTTGCACTTTTCAGTTTCATGCATTGGAGAAAGAAATGGCAACCCACTCCAGTGTTCTTGCTTGGAGAATCCCAGGGACGGGGGAGCTTGGTGGGCTGCCGTCTATGGGGTCGCACAGAGTCGGACACGACTGAAGCGACTTAGCAGCAGCAGCATAACAACAGTAAATCTTTTAATCATTGCCTTTGTGATTCTTTTCTGTACTATTTACAGTGTATTCCAAAGAATCATCATATTAAATTTGTAATTGCAGTTTAGATTTTTTAAGGAAATTTAATCAACTCTGCAATCAATGTTTAAATATTAAAATGTGGATGAGATGGGGTGGCAGATGGGAGGGAGGTTCAAAAGGGAGTGTATATATGTATACCTATGACTGATTCATGTTGAGGTTTAACAGAAAACAAAATTCTGTAAAGCAATTATTCTTCAATAAATATTTTTTTAATATTAAAATGTATTTTTCAAAGTTCTGTTTATAGATATATGTTTAGTAAGTCAGGCATTAAGTAAAATACAGATATTTGTGGGGTGTCCTCTCCAAGGACAAAAATTTTCCTCAAACTTTAAAAACTGTCAACAATGAGCATAATATGTGTCCACAGTAAGCATAGAAAAATAGCTGAAAGAGTGGACATCAAAGTATTAGCAAGGATTATTTCTATGGAGTGGGAAAAGGTGTAGAAGAGACTTTCATTTTTTACATCCTTTAGAATTTTTCAAATGTTTAGAGAAGCATGAGTTACTTTTGTAATCTCAAAAATTTAATCTTGAACAAGATTCAAGGTTATAAGATAAATGCTATCATAAAAGCAGTAACTTATAATCGAGTGTGGCTATAAGGGAAGCCCCAAAACTGAAGTTCCAGTTTTCTTTTCTAAATGAAATTCAGAAAAATTGAAATATAGTGGATAAGTCACTACCTGTAGCAATAGCACAAGCCTAATAATTTTCTTGCAGTTTAAAAGTGTGATTGAGGGACTTCCCTGGTGGTCCAGTGGTTCAGACTCTGAACTTCCACTGCAGAGAAGGCAAGAACTAAGATCCCACATGCAGCACAGTGCAGCTTAAAAAAATAAAGCAAACCCAGGACATTTTCCCTACTTTTGGTTTTCTATTTGTTTTGTTTTTCTTTTTAGAATTTTAAAAATGAACTCTTAGCTGCTGCATGTGGGATCTAATT